ATGGGATGGGGGCTGGGGGTGCTGATGTGGGATGTAGTCAGTATATAAAACCTGGCTCACTGGAAGGCCATGGAGCTACATTATCCCGCTGCACATACCTGGGAGTTTAACATTGATCTGAGTCTAGGAAACAGGAGTTGACTGGAAGGGCAGCATTCCAAATCCTGGTGTCTCCTGAGTCTGAAAACAGATCAGGGCTCACCACCTCCGCATCCCCACCCCCACGCAGCATCCACCCTGAGAAGCCACCTCTCCCACTCTCTAGCCCAGCCATGCCCAGTTGGCCCCGTGGGGACAGAATGGAGAATCATCCCTTGGTCTCTCTCTCTCTCTCTCTCTCTCTCTCTCTCACACACACACACACACGGCTTTTTACCTTTCCCATCATTAGCTTTCCTCTGGAGACAGTGGATTTGGAGCTGTCCCGCTGAGTGTTCCTCAAGAACGAGCAGGGGCTGAACGGCCTTCACTTACATCTGCAGCGAGGCTGTGAGCAGGATTCCACATCCTGTCCCCTCACTCAGCAGCACGTCCAGTGCGGCTCACGAATGGGGCAACAGAAACTTATTTTCAGGGGCCGGTGTTTTGCTTAAAGGTGAAATTTGAATCTATCACTTGGAGACACTCTTCACCTCCGGTGTGCAGATGATTTGGAATTATGGCTTCAGCATTTGTGTCCGGGTCATTGGTCCTTTCAACAAACGTATTTTGAATGTCTTTTATGTGTGGGGTACCCTTGCAATGCAAGGAGTGCCTCTGGGGGAATGGTACTGGGGATTTTCATTTTTAAAAGGAAAAAAGTTCCTTTCAGTTTCCCTAAGGACCCAGTGCAGTGGGGGCGGAAGGCGCAGGGCTGAGGGGCAGGACGGGAGCAGAGGGAGAGTAGGGGGGCCCTCTACACATACCACCTCACTTCATTTCGTTCTCAGGCTTGTGAACAAGCGCACAAGCATGCCAAGAGGCAAACCATCGATCTCCTTTAAGGATAAAGGAATTGCTGCTCAAAAGGTCAAACTAACCTGGGGCACACAGTGAGTGGGAGCAGGATTCAAAGCTGGCCCCTCTGCTTGCCAAGGCCCGCCCTGGGCTGCCCACGCCACAGGAGCGCTGAACTCCACGGGGTTGACTCAACCAGCTGAATGACCTTGAGAAAGCCACTAACCATCTCCAGGCCTCCACGAGCACAAGCCTTCTCCTCGCTCTGAATCAGCACTTCGGTTAGGGCATCAGCCCCGGCAGCCCTGATAAGGTCTTGACTCTATTCTTTGTTCTCCGCGGCCTTGGCAACCGATAGAAATAGAACTCACAGGCAGCAGGAACCAGTTCCCCGCTCTAGGTCAAAACTCATTTGTCAAAAATTTGGCAAAAGCTGCATTCGTATTAGTGAAACCTCAGCATAGCTTCATTTATTGTTTGACACACAGGATTTATGACATCTGTCGGAGGAATGTGGTCTGAAAACCCTCAATGTCAAAAAGTGTATATAATGGAAGGAACACTTCTTGCACTGACCGACATTTCTAATTTCTTGCCAAACCCGTTTCTAATTCTGGAAATGATGGCTCCCTGAGCACCCCAGTGCTTTTTTTTTTTTTAAATTGGAGAATTCAAATTTTTTGTGTATATGTAACATCTGACTGCAGATTGAAAAAAAAAATCACATCTAAAAATCATGTTGACAGGTAGAAAAAATGGTTAACATATACTCAACTATTTGTTCAAGTAAAAAAGACTTTTTTTTTCTTCCCTGGAGGAAAAAACCAGACCCAAAGCATTAAACTGTGGAGGGCACACACCAGCACACACCAACGGTGTCTCTAGGAGTAAGTAGGGGAGCTGTTCTCAATGCCAGTCTCAAAAAGTTCAGACTGTATCCACAAAGCAATTTTCTTTCTTCCTTAATAACAGACTGTAGAACCCTCATCACAAATTTAAACATTTTCAGAAGATGCTTATACTCTCCCTGTAGCCTTTCTCTGCATTTCCAGTGCTTTATATTCCGAGCAGGGCACCCTCCAACTGTTCATTCTGACGCCTGGGCCTGCCGATTTCAGCAAGGGAATTTAGAGTACGAACCTTGAATTCTCTCTCTGTACTTCACGGTTTTCTAAATGGTGACTATATCAGCTTCCAGCCTCGGCACTGCCACACAGAGGAGCCCTAATCTCTCTTCCCTGGCCTCACAGGACGGCGTGTTCTGCTTATCACGCTGGGTCAGACCCAAGGTGTGTCATGTGGAGACAGGGTGTTCTCCCTTTTTTATCAGATCAGGCAATAATTCTTTGAAATGGCATGCTGTTTCATTAATTGACTTCACCGGGTCCCTGGGACCAGGGAAGAAGTTAAACCACCCACTTGTGATCACTGTCAGCTACAAGCTCACTTAACCTCCAGTGTCCCAGTTTCTTCCTCTCCCAACTACACCTGCTGCTTCATCCGTTTCTACCTATGTCTAGCAGTTGCTTTTCTTCTGCTGTATAACACCTGAAACATCGAGAGGAAGAATCCAAACAGGGCTTTGTTGGCACACAGGCCTTGGGTTTGGAACCCAACCACACTACTACTGTGAGCTATGGAGCCGAGTAGGTTCACTCAGCCTCCCTGTGCTTGTTAGTAACATGGGGATGGGTATGAAGCTGAAATAACATTTGTCAGGTGCTCCACAGGTTCTGGCACTTGGTATCTGAGAATAGCATGAATAACCTTCATTTAGGGCAAAGTTAGTGTTGTCCCAGCTCCACCAAGTAGGATATTAAATACCCTCTGTGGAGGCCTATGAAGCACACGGCAGGCTGAGGACAACAGCGGTTAATGGTCATCGCGCAGGCCCGAGGAGCTGTGCTAAGCACCTCATTACATGCGTTATAAATTAGAACTCCACAATCATCACCAAAGAGCTAGGTACTAACCTCCCGCTCCTTAGATGAAGAATCTCAGGTTCAGTGACCCAACAGGCTAGGCAGCTACTGAAGACGAAGCCAGGTCCAGCTCCCAACGAGGAGCGCTGGGTTAGGAAAGGCCCCTATGACGAGGGTAGGCAGAGGCACTGTCCAGTGAGGACCGGCAGGGTGAGCCTAGGGTGGTGAAGACATGGGAAGGCTGAGACCCAGAGTGTTTACTTGCCTTATACCCTTTCTTTCTGTGGAGAGAAAATACCTGATGAAAGGGCTTGGAAAAGCAGCTACAGAGATATTTAATACCCTTCAGTGAAACTATTATCCATGCATCCAAATGAGTTTCCCTTTAATTCTATTCTATCATGTTTGCTTTTCATGAGGATGTCCTTCTTGCCCGTTGCACAAGTTTGGCCAACTAAGATTGTTTGTAATCTTTTTTTGTTTGCTTAAAGTCTTCCAGAGCAGCCTATGATATTTTCAGTTTCCACGTTGGAGAAAAAAATTGGAATTTGGAACTCACTGTTAGAAAGCAGAAAATCACAGAGACTGTTAAAGCAATACTTCTAAGTAGAATCACGCTGCTAGGGGACAGCGGCAGATTTGGTGCTCAACCCACAATTTGTTGATGTGTGCATGCCACTGAAGGCGTAGCTAATATTTGAGGGACAATCCCCAAGCCAATAAAGTTATTGCACAAGGCCTTTATGTCTATGCAGATATACCCCAGTAACACGGAGAAAGGCTTTTGAAAAGGGTCTTTTCAGCTTGGTGGTAACTTTAACAGACCAAGGGGGATGCTGCCTTGAGTGCATCTGGGAGGACAGTACATGACACCCAGTTTTTCCCTGAACTTTGGGATATTATTTCGCTTTAAGAAACCATTAATGAGAGAAGGTAGGTCGATCTCATGATCTAAAGGTCACAAAGTAAAAACATACAAACGACAGGACCACCAAGTTTAGAAAATGTTCTACAATGTGCATTTTATTCCATATCATTATACAATGTTTATATATACAGTAGTCCCCCCTTATCCACGGGTTCCCGGTCCTCAGTTTCAGTTAACTGCGGTCAACCACGGTTGGAAAATATTAAATGAAAAATTTCAGAAATAAACAATTCATAAGTTTTAAATCAAGCGTCGTTCTGAGTAGCATGATGAAATCTTGCGCTGTCCCGTTTTGTCCCGCCCAGAACGTGAATCCTCCCTTTGTCCAGCGTCTCCATACTCTATGCTCCCTGCCGGTTAGGCACTTAGTTGTCATCTTGGTTATCAGATCGACTGTCTCAGTATTGCAGTGCTTGTGTTTAAGTGACCCTTATTTTACTTAATAATGGCCCCAAAGTGCAAGAGTAGTGTGATGCTGTCAATTTGGAACTGCCAAAGAGAAGCCGTAAAGCGCTCCCTTTAAGTGAGAAGGTGAGTACGTACAGGAAAAAACATCGTACACAGGGTTCAGTACTGTCTGCGGTTTCAGGTTTCCACTAGGGGTTCTGGAACATATGCCCCGTGGATAAGGGGGGAGACTACTGTAGTTATAACTCTTAAGAAAATGTTTATCAATTGTATATAGTGCCAAAATTTTCACTTTAACATGGAGAAATAGAGTGGAAATCCATCCACATGGACTGCTATCCTACGAGTTGAAATGCGCTCCAAGTGTGCCGATTAGAAGGAAACAGAAGTCTTAAAAGAGCAGTGTGGCTTACAAACCCTTGGCTTTGGTGAATTCAGGCATACAGAATCCATAGTCTCATCTCATAGTAAAGCTCAAGACAAAATAAATTAGTGTTGGACAGAATTCTAAATTGTACAATATTGAACGAAAGACCACAGTGGGACCTTTTGTTTCAAGTAGCACCAATCCACACCTGATCGTTTCCAACAGCAATCTTCCTGTTGAATGTAGCGTTGGCACTTTGAGTGGAAACCTGTCTGATTTAGTGAGGATTCCTAGACTGTGTTGCCAGACCCTCTATGAAGTGTGGCAACGTCAACCTGGGAAATGGCACATTTAAATCATGGTCCCTCTGACACGGGCCTGCCTCTGTGTGTGTGTGCGCGTGTGTGTGTGTGTTCCCCACCTCTGATGTAGCCAGTATCTGTGGATGTTTCTGTGACAGTGGTAATGCAGTTAAGGGGTTTCATGGTAAGCATAGTGTTAAAAAAAAACCCAAACAAAATAAAACAAAAAAACAACAGAAACAACATGAAAGTGTGGTCGCAGCTAAGGAGGTTTTCACATGTTGTTTAACTCCAGTAAAGTCTGATCCAGCATCTGATGCATACTAAGGTTTTCTTCTTTGGCATGAGCCACTTTCTCTGTGGTGGGATTAGAAAATTAAGTCATGAATAGCTGTGCTTTGGACACAACGGTGGTTTGTACATTTAGGCAGGCAAACATCAATCACAAACACAGGATGAGGTGATTAGGACTAGGCATGCTTGTAAGACATTCCTCATTTCCAGACAAGGACCTACGGAGAGGGGAGCTGTCTCTGACCCAAAGGAACTACAGGCACAGCAGGTTCTCACAGAGCGGCCAGGTGAACCTCCACCAACGTTCCACTCCGAGAACAAAACGCAGGAGTTTGGTGCAGGCTCGCCGGCAGTGCGCTGCGGGAACAGGGAGGGCTGCTTGCAGCACCGAGTTAATGACAGCAGACACGGCTGAGCTACAGGCAGGTAAGGGTCCGGGAGTTGTGCTGTAACACAATCTCGCAGAAAACAAAGGGGACGTAAATAGGTTTTCTGACAACTTTTGAAATGATTTATTTCTGTTGTTCATTTAAAAAGAAGACCAACATGTTTCATGCACACTTCAGTAGGACATTCTCTTACTATTCTTACAGTGTTCCATTCATTATCAGCATGGCCTTCTCACCAGATTCCAACAACACCGTGAGACTGAACAAAAGCATACCTTTCGGACAATCAGGGACTTCTGACATGAGCTCCTGTTTTCAAAAGCTATTTTGCCCAAGCATAGTACATTTAATCATATTTCAAACGCTATACCAGATATTAAGAAGTTAGGAATATGAATATGTAATAGGAATATATATATTATATATATAATACCCTATATATAATATATATAGATATATAGGTATACACATACACACCCCTCTGCTTTGGCTTTCTAACTTAAAGTAGGACTCAGTTCTCTATAGTAGAAAACAAATTTTTTTTTAGCTTTTCTTTTTTTTAGCTTGTTTGTACCAATTCAAACAAGACCTACTATTGCAAAGAGGAGTGCCAAATTGATTGTTATAAATATTTACTCATATACATGATTGTATTTTACCATAAAAAGTATTTGGGGATTAGAGAGAACTGAAATATTCCAGGTATGAGAGGGAAATGCAGGCAAGGCCAGCCTTTTGGCCCAATCCCTTCATGTACATCTCTGCAGAAAGCACCCCTGCGTTGAAGGTGTAACAGTCTTAGTGAGATTTCCTGACCATGGGCTCCATCCCTAGAACTCAGCCCAAGTCCTTCCCCACTTAAGGTTAATCCTCATTCAGGGCCAGCTTTAGTTGGTTAGTTAGGCGGTGGTTTTGCTCAAGTTGCTGGTAGAGTTGATCTGGACAGGTCAGCAAGCAGGTGAGCAGAAGAGAAGAGGCGGAAGAAGAGAGGTTAGCTAGACCTGGAGAGAGGGAGTTCACAGGCAGAACACAGAGATACCTCCGGCACTGGGTGCTTGCTGGACAGGTTACCCTCACCCGTGGTCATCTGTCCCGTGCCCAGGAAGGTGGGTGGTAAAGGCCTGGCAGACTTAGCAAGAGCCAGGATTTCTCTCTTGGTGGGAGGGAAAGGAAAGGGAACAACAGGGTAGGAAGAGGGTAGAGAATGGGTGTTCCTCTTGCGCCTCGCTAGCACCACTGTGTGAAATGAGCTGGAGGCAGTTTCTGGCAACAGCCTGAGGCACCCAGGCAGGGCTGGAGGCGAGCCCAGCACGTCATCTACTCCTTGCCAGTGCTCAGTGGAGATCTATGGTGAAGCCTCAACCTGTCCATTTCTGTTCACCTCTTCCCGGAACCCTTTTCATCTCCATGTCAAGGGCTGGCTTTCCTTTCAGGTGGTATCAAGAGGGGCTACAAGGGTTAACACTTTTTGAAATGCAGAACTAAGCTCTGTTGTCCCCCCCCCC